CCTTGTCTGGGTCTTTTCCTCAGAATTGTGTAAGGATTTCAGGGGACAGGAGTGAAAAAAAAATGAAGGGTGAAAGCAAGAGAAGGCCATACAGTAATGTATTTTGTTAAGTCCCATCTCCCTCATAACACGAGAGGAGAGGGAAGGAGTTGAGGAAAAGTTTCCTGAGAGAGAGGACTGCCTGAGAGAAAAGAAGATCCAAGGGCTACGGAGAGAGGACCCAAAGTGATTTGAAAGATGAGTCAAAGCTGGATGAAGTGAAAAGTGAGGCCCCTTTACCAACGCAAGCCCTAAACAAAAAGAGCAAGACAGGGAAAAGGCACAAGAGGCAACAGGGAAGATCAAGGGAAAGAAAAGAAAAGCAAAGAGGAAAGAAAGTACGCTGAAAGTACAGAGAGAGATGGCAAGAGGCACTGAAATATGGGAAAGAGCAAGATAACCACAGGTTAGGGAACTGCTGGAAGTACCGAATTCACAGAGAAGACTAGAGAAGGAAAAAGGGTGTTTTCCAAAGATAAAAGAGAAGACGCTTAAAAGTGGGAAATGATAGATTAAAACCACCAAATTTCAAATGAAAGGGAAAGTAGTAATAGAGAAAGTAAGCTAGAGATGAATGGGGGGGGGGAAATGAGGCACCATCAGAATGACAACAGCGGCTTGGGGAGATGGTTCATTATCTTTGAGATGTGGTGATTTACCACACTTTCCAAAAATCATACCATTAGATTTCCTCTGGAAGCTTGGCCTAAGCGCTGAGCATGATCTTCATGAGTGGAGCACACAGTGTGAGAACATCTATGCAGTCTATGCTTTTTTCCCCCCATATATTCAACATTTGTCAGTGGTGTGAAATATCCAATTATAACTTCTGGCACCCATCTGGCTGCATGAGTCCTTGAGAAAATATTGAGTCAAGAGCTGGCAGGCAAGCAAACAGGAGGTTACCAGCAAGTAACTTTCCATTAGCTTCTTTATTTCAATTCAATAAGAAAAGGAAATTGAGGCAGTCCCCAAAGCAAAACATTTTATTAATTGTGTGCAGCATTATTCCGTCATGTGCTTTGGCTTTGAGGAAAGAAATTCTTACTTAGGTCACTTGCATTTGTGTCTATGATCGGTTAATAAAACAAATAGACCACCTTGACTGCAGCAATTATAATCCTTAAGCCACTGGATATAAAACTGAACTTGGGTATTCACATTCTCCTAACAGAGTGAGTCCAGGGGCAGGTCATTCCTTCTAGTCCAGAGACAGATTAAAGCAATAAAACATACTGTACAAATTAATTAACTGAATGCACAGAACTATATAGGTTTCACCACACAGAATGTAGGAGAAACAAGTGCTGCTATACATTATCCAATTTGTTGAACACAGTATTTTCTATTGATTTTAACAACTTATTTGCTGACTATTACCTAAGCTCCAGTGAAGGGAGAAGTTAAACACAGAAAGCTTTCCTGCTAACCAATCGTATTAGGAAATTGCTCTGAAGAAAAAAAATTATCCTTGTTTCTTTAATCAAGCCCAGGAGTACCAAGGCTCTCAGTTAACCCCTGGTCTTCAGACTTTTGCAGATTTGGTTGACCAGCTGGTGGGTGCTGGCTAGGGAGCTGAACTGAAAAGGACTCTTTAACTAGGTGACAGTGTCTGACTAAATTTTTCATAACTGACAGTATCAGAGTGAAAACAGAAACATATCTGTTATGGCGTTTCTTCTGTGAGATGTAGCCTTTCATCTATAGGAGTTAATCTCTGATTTCCCAGTTGCCGTTGGATATATTAAACAACAGCTGACAAGAGGCATCAGGAATACTCTGTGCAAAACTATTTCAATGCCGTCCTGCTCGGATTTTGCCTAAACTAGTGTGCTAACAAATTTTGTAAATGCTGGATCCACACATCACAAAAAAAACCTTTTTTAAAATTATTTTTTGTTGTGTATCCCATTTTGAGTCTTCCCAGCACACCTGGGAGTTAGAATCTTCTGGCTGAGTGTTGGTTCATGACAGCTCCATGATGTCTTTTCCAGTTGTGTGAATTTATTATGCTTTGGAATGGAAAAGGGCATTATTAACATGTATTTCTTCTGCTGAAGTCATATCTTGGAAAAAGTCAGTTCCTAAAGCAGGTTGGACCAGGGTGAAAATTGAGAAGGGAGTTTCTGAAGAATATATGGATACTGCAGGTGAGGTGGCTGGTGTTTCTGTGGGTGACCGGCTCTCTTGTGAGCTGTTGACATAGCGGTTCCTCAACAGTTCTCTGTGGGTGGGCATTTCCACTGGAAATGCTTTGTCAGGCTGTATATAGTAAAACCAAGGTCTTGTTCTTTTTTATTGCCTCTCATTTCAACTATCAGAGACAGAACAAAAGAAAAAGGAAACAAATGCAGAAGCAACACATGTTTTGCAGAAGCAGGTAAGAGAGAGGTATTGCTGAAGAGGTAGCTTCATACCACCCTCACCTTTCTGTTTCAGCAATAGTTGTATCTGCTCCTTGCTGCAATGACAAGCTCAAATTGTCATCGATAAATGTTGATTCGTTTTCACCTAATAACAGTAAGCAGTTCTCACTCAAAATCAATTTCAACTTTATTGGCAAGGCACTGCACATTTGTCTTTGCCATGACTGTGTTGCATAAAGGAACAATTGAATTTAAAATTAAATGAACAATAATTGAAAATAAAATGTGCCTTTTTAAAGGAAAATTAGTGCTATGCTAAATTTCCAGGAGTCAGTAATGTTGGGGTTTTTTTCCTTAAAAAAGTAGAATGGTTTTGGCTAAAGAGTTAATTATATACATATGTGTATATTAATGTACATAATTAAAAATGGACTTGAACCTCAAAAGGATACAAAGGCTCTTCACTAACTTCCTAGGGTTTTAAATCTGGCAAAACCAGTACAGTTTCTGTTGTAATTGTACTTCCAACACATTTGGATATGCTAATTGGATCTAAGTTCTAATTAGTTTCTTCATGTGACTAAGAATGACAAACATCAAATTAATGTACTTTTGTTCCGAACTTAGTGCCATTTTCAGTATTTTTAATACAGAAAATGTAGACTATCAAATGCTTTTTTTTTTATAGGATGGTAGTGGTTTATTACATACAGTGCACACACTTGAAATACATTCACTACATTTCACTGCATTATTACAGGTAACACACTTCAGCAATTAGGTTATTCGTCTCAAAGTGTTGGAGGGCTTTGCTGGAGGAGTGATGAGGATCTGGAAATGTCAGCAGTGCATCCATACTGCTGTGAACAGCTAGACATGCTGTGGAGGTATAGAAGAAGCAGAGATAGCTACTGTAATCTATGGTTGGTTTTTGTGATCGGATGGGAACATGAAGTGAAGAAACCAGGCAGTGATAGTTTGTGCTTTTTTATTTAGAAATAGCTATTGAAAATATGAGTAATTGCAAGACATTAATATGATGCCTCATACTTTAGTTCCTCTTCATATCCTAGTGCTACTTTCAATGATTTCTGCTGGAGTTCTGAATCCAGTAGATCCTTGATTTAGTTATTACTTGAGATTAAAAGTATGCTCAGTATTACCCTTGCTGATTTCCTGACAATAGTATAACCTTAACTTCAAAATGGGAAGAATTAGGACAGCTCTGAGCACTCCTGAAAGTAGCAGAGAGAAATTATTACATTTTTTTAAGGCCATCTTCTGTTGGGAAGTATATCTCTATATCATCACAGGAAGGGTTGGGTTTTTCACTTTTTGAGGCACCCTTTTTATTAAGGAGGCATCTTCAAAGAATTGATATGAATACATTGAAATTAAATAATTTAGAATTTGCTCTAAAATAGCCTGGGGAATGTAATGAATAAAAAAAAAAATTAAGAAATGGATCATTTGAAATCATTAAATGTGTGTACTTGGAATTTGTTCCTTGTTTTGTGTCTTACTTTGAAAGATCTATGAAACACATATATAAAGATTTTTCCCATGAAGAACTGAAAATAATGCTTTCTTTAAAGTTGTATTCAATCACGGTCAGCAAAGGTACTTCCCTTCTTTCACAGACACTTTCAGCTTGTTCAGGCACCTTGCCATTTCTGTGACTGTGCATTAAAGTACAGTAATGTTTTGGATGTTTTGCAATCGATATTTCTCACAGATTACAGGATTGAATTCTCTGAGAGACTAGTCTCAGTAGGGGCCACTGGGCCTAGCAGTAACATACCGATGTTAATCTTGTTTTTGTCAGAGCAAGACCTTCTATGCCTTTAAACAGGGACATGAAAACCGCCTGGGTTTAAGTTAGCTCCCCGAGTCAGAAGATGAGCATCCCTCCATAGCTTTCATGCACAGTCTATGAAGAAGGCAATTCAGAGCAAGAACTTGTACCTGCAGGTGCTTACCTCTTTCTCTGTATGTTTGACTGCATAATAGGTTTACATAGGCAATTAGTTTACATGCCATAACTGAGACTCTGCTCCAAAGTCCTCTGAAGTCAGTCACCCTTCTGTTGGGTTTTGGAATTGCCACTGGTGATTGCATAGCCCGGATGGATGTAATAATGAGTTCCAAAAATGAAACCAGTAATGTTTGTATGTGGTGCTAAGGGATGAGTGGTTGGTTGTTTCTCTGTACCCAAGGTAAGCATCAACCATCATGTAAGAATGCAGGCAAGTTATATTTTCAGAGAAGCTAAATGACAGGTCAGTATCTACTAAATTCAGATTGAAAGGCAGTTAGTCCTGGAGAGATCCCTGAGAGAACACCTCTGTCCATAGAAGCCCAAGATATATGATAGCATCAATGCAAAGCGTCTCGTAGCCAAATTCCTTTTTCTGCATTGTCTGTTGCAGTCTATTCTCAATACTGTGAGGTGCCTATCCAATGGTCTTCTCCTCGATCATCTTTAAATGTGATTTTTAACCTGGCTGAAAATCACTGCTGTTTTATTATCAATGAGTAGTATAAGCTTTAATTAAAACTAGTGTAATTACTTTCATCAGAGTTCCGCTAGGAAAGATGGGCTGGTATAGACAGCATGCCAAAATTATGGTAGCTATTATTTCTCCAATTAGTGTATTACTGAAAGTAAGATAGAAGTATTGTTACAGCCATACAACTTTTGAAATATTTTTCATCAACATAAGTCCTTCCTGAGCTCTTCTAAAGAAATACATATGCCCCCAAACCCTGGATGCTGTCATCCATTGCACACTGGTATTTAAAAGTACAAACTGATATCCCTAATTGCTTCATTTGCAATTTAAAGATGAATCTGTGTGCAAGCCCTTCCTTTACTTTCCATCCCATTGATTCCAGAAGGTGTTCTGTTTATTTTGTACATTCC